AATTTTAGCAAGGACTACAAAAACACAAGGGCAAGAGTAGACATCTCTGCTTACACTTGAGTTAGTCTCTATAGTTACTCGTAGAATAAATGTAATTACAGTGAGAAGTCATCCAGTGCTTCCTAGAAGCCACACGCTATGCCAACGTTCTTTACCCATGCTAGAATGCTGAATTCTCTCAGTAACTCAGGGCCATAGAGTAACTGGGGTCTTCAAGAACATTTCTTACACGATGCTGAGAACCTAACCTGCCAAGTAACACTCAGCCACCTGCCCATGGTATTAAGAGTCTGACAAGCATCAAATTTTCCAAGCAAGGAACATCTTGGACTTTGTGGTCCTTCCCTGGATATAAGAGGCCTGTTGGCCAAAAGAGAAGAAACCTCTTCATTTAGAAGTCATGTGTGCTTGGTTTTTATGCATCTGTGAAAAGATGGGTAGAAAGTTGCCCCTCAGTTTCCCAAATGTGGCAGAGGTTGTGATGGGATATGAGCATACACATTAACTATGCCCTCATAAGGAAACACATCTCCCTGCACTGAAGGTAGCAGTCTTGGGCCCCCAGAGTCTCATCAGTAGGGCACGGACAACACTCCTCTGTTGCCCTCCCTAGTATCTCTGGGAGATTCACCAGCTCTGGAGCCTGGGACTGTCAAACAAGAAAAGGAAGCTGTGTGAATGACATCTGGATACTGCTCGGCCTCGTCCTTGGCAGGATATGGATAGAGGGCATGTGAGACCCTCGGTTCAAACTTGATCTTTTGGTCTATTGTGATATTTGTCTCATTGTGTTCCTTTAACATTTTTTTAAAAAAATATATATTTTTATTTATTTGACAGAGAGAGAAAGCACAAGCATGGGAAGCAGGAGAGGGAGAAGCAGGCTTCCTGCTGAGCAGGGAGCCCGATGTGGGGCTTGATCCCAGGACCCTGAGATCATGATCTAAGCTGAAGGCTTTACTGACTAAGCCACCCAGGTGCCCCTCATTGTGTTTCTTAAAAAAAAAAAAAAGGATTAAAGTATAATCTGTACCAAGAGAAGGAAATATGACCGATCCTAGAACACATGGGTATTATTAGCACTCCCCCTTAAAGCGGATGGTCCTGGGGCTTCATGGAGTTAAGTCACCTGAGTGATGAAGCCAGAACTGGGATCCTGGTTTGTCTGCTTCTAGAGCATGCTCCTCATAACCACCACATGAGCACACCGCCCATAACTGAAGCAGATGGTCCTGAATCAAACTTGAGTCCATAAACCAAATCTATGACTCCCTAAGGAGATGTAACACTGCATTAGTGGAGATTTTAAGGCAATTTAATGGATATTAAATATGTATCTCTCCCCTAATGTATATTCCTCTGAATTCATTCATTCGCTCGTCTATTAAATAAAGATTTATCGAGTGTTTGCTACGTATACGCTGTGCTACTGAGGAATAAGGGATGAGTGAGTGCAGGGAAAACAGAATAATGAATTAGACACAGATTCCGCTCTCAGGAGCTTACATGAGAAGTCAGAGATAGATGTAAATGACTTAAGGTATAAATGATGAGCACCACAAGACAGTTGCAGATAAAGGAGTGCAGTGTATTCTAGGGGTGGATGTGGGTGGATGTGGGTGTGTGTGGGTGGGTGTGGGTGTGAACGCGTGCATGCACACATGTGCATTCGTGGGCACGTACGTGTTTGGCAATTGGTTATGGTGAATGAAAGAGCTCTAGGTTTGAACAAATGCAGGGAAGCAGGCAATAAAAAGATAACTGCAAGAAGACTGGTTTAGTTAGCATGAAAGGTCCATAAAAAAGCGGTGGATTTTAAGACCGGAAATAGAAGCAACACGTTACATCTTCCATGCAGAGGAGTGATGCCATTGGTTCTGTGCTTTGGTAGGAAGTAGCTGGCATTACTGAGCAGCAGGGGCCAGGAAACCACAGCTTGTGGCCACATTTGGCCCATGGCCTGTTTTTCGATGGCTAGTAAGTAGGGAATGGCTTTGAGATTTTGAAGCGTTGTTTAAAAACAAAGAAGCACATAAACAAAGAAACTGTGACAGAGACATTCTGCAGCACACAAAACCTGAATGTTTGCCAACCCCTTGGCATATAGAACGGATTGCTGGAGGGTACTGGATTAGGGGAGACCAAGTTACGGGGGGACAGCAATAGTCCAGACAAGGAAGACGAAGAGGGTGTGGGTGAGACAGTGGAGTCTGGAAACGCAGGAGCTGGAGGGAGACAAAGCTGGATATTGGTGTACTTGGGAGTTGTCTCAAAATGAGACCTGAAGTTCGAATAGTGAATGAAAGGGGAAAGAGCCAAGGATCGATCTTTGATAAGTGTCTGTTTATAGAGTGGGGAGGAAGAAGAGGAACGAGCAAGCCCGCTGAGCTAATATCATTGCTTCCATTTGTTCCATTAGCACATGCTCTATGCCCTTGGCCGATCTTTGCCTCAAGGTGCCCTCCCCCAGTGAGAATGTGACGATACCGAGATGCTACCGCTTCGGCTGCTAGGACAGAACAGGGAGCTACTCCTTCAGTTTCGCCTCTCAGACTATGTGTCCATCATCTTCCAAATACAGCTTGATCCCAGGTCCCCTCTAATTCTCCCCAAGCTCTTCTCCGTGTCCCTGTGGCATCTCTGGAAGCTTCTTGACTGATGAGGTTTAAGGACGAATCAGTTTATTCCACCCCTCCCCCCATACAGCCTGAATTGATGGACTGGATAAGCATCCTTAATAGTCTAGTTGCAAAGTTTGCTTCTACACTTTAGAATCACTACCGCACAGGAGAGCTAGCTGTAGGAAAGGAAGCAGGAAGCTCGTGTGGCCATACCATAAAGACTGTGACATGTACTGCAAAGGCCCCTGAGAGGCCATCAGGAGACTACCAAGGTTTATAGCAATTGCAGGGAGCAGGAGAGGAGACTGATGTCCCTGGAGGCCTATCTGAGTAAGAGCCAGAAGATTCTACTTCCGGAGGGGTATGGAGAAGCACCAGGCCCACAGGCAGAGGGGTGGGTAAGTGAGAGGACCCAGGCAAGCAAAGAGGGGAAACAGTCTGGACTCTCTGTGAGGCACAGGGCAGAGAAAACTGCAATCAGCTACACTCTGTCTCCATGGAGTTTGGACTCCGAGGAGCGAATTATGGAGAAGCTTGGTGTTCAAATTTGAGATGAATGAAGTGATGGTGGTGAGTGGAGGAGGGAGGGTAGCTGTGTTTGCAGGGACGTGTGTGTGGATTTTAAAGTCTTGGATTTGGGAGCAGTGTATGTTCTGGATGCGGACATGACTCCCAGGTGTGACTGACAGGGGGTGGCAAGGTGGCCCCTGTGGGGGCCCGCAGCTGAGAGAGGACAGCAGATAGGAGGAGATGTCAGTGTGGAAATGGAAGGTGGCAAATGAGTCTCTAGATTTTCTAGGAAACTTACAGGATCACTGAAATGGATAGTTCTGGTAAATTTTCATGGTTGGCATTGGGGACACTGTTAGCACTCGGTCAGCTGAAAATCTGTCCTACATGCAGCAGGCTCCGGGGTTCATGCACCTCTTTGGGGCTGGAGGAAGTGTTTGAACTGAATCTCCTTGCGGGTACCAGCAGTTGTGGCTGTGAACTCCATCTGTGCCCTGGGTTCTCTATATATACAAGGTGGCCAGGCTACCTGGGTCTATGGACATGCGAGGATTAGAGGTGGCAACTTTCACACCAAACCTGGAAGGGGCTGAAGTTTCTCACAGAGGTCATGCAGATGCTTTCCGGACATGTGTCTTGCTTACTTGAATCAAGTCCTGTTTTCCTAAATGTTCGGTTTCTCAAACTCAGAAATTGCCTCCTTCCCCTGCTCCCCTCCCTCCTGGGAGTCTCAGTGAGCCTGCCACAGTCCTGGGCACAGGGACACCATCGTGAGCTCCAGACCACGCCTGGAGGAGCTGAGGGTCTGGTCGGGGAACTGGCTGAGAGTGACTCACTCCAGCCCCTCCCTACCCTAGCTGCCTCCCTGTGGTTGAACCTTTCAGGGTCTGGTCCTGGCATCCCTCTGAAGGAGAAGTGCCACCCCCACCTCCGGAGTCCCCAGAGTTAATCATTCCAGAATGCCCACGCAGACTTGAGGTGGTTCAAAGCCTGAGTGAGGCTTCTGCTCAGGTTTAGGCTGCTCTTTTAACTTCCCCTGTCAGCTGGCAGGCTCAAGTGACCTCTGAGGATAGTCTCTGCTTGCTGAGGTGGCCAGGGAATCTGCCCAGAGGGGGTTCAGTGAGACAATATCTGATAAGAGCATTTCCCACAGAGATGAAATACTCCCCTCATCTGTCAGGTGAGGATAATGATCCTACCTCTCTCCCTGGGACAGTTGTAAAGATGGCAGGAGTTAATACATGTAACGATTTAGCATGCTGCCTGGCACATGGCAAGTACTCGTTAAATGTTAACTCATGTTATTTCTGTTCACTCTAACAGAAGGTCTCTGTGATGATGCCACATTTGCAAGACACTTGCACCAGATGTAAGAAATATTTCAGTAGTTATTGGAGGACACTTCAGAAGCTACAGAAGTTTCCAGCATTCCGCAGGCATGGCCCCTCCCTTTTCTACCTGCATGGATTAGTGTGTGAGCATAGCAGTCCTGTGTCACTAAGATATTTGACAATAAGTCCATCAGTGATTCCCTACTCCCAAGCAAAGGGAAGCCCTGAAGGGAAGTATTTTCCAGGAGGAAACCTATTTTCCCTCCTGAACTCATTTGGTGGAGGCAATCGGAAGCATTGGGGTGAGCTTCAAGAGGGTGCTGAGGCCCCGTTGCACACACTTCATTAAATCTGGGCAGAAAAAGTAGTGTCTTAGCTACTGAGGGGAGGAGGCTACAGGAGCCAATGGAAACTGAGGAACGTTGTGAGCTTTGGCTGGAAATAAAGAACAGTTGGTGTGTGATTCAAGAAAATGTTTCGATGGACAAAGGGAATATGGAGGGGACTCTGCCACTCGTGGGAAACACTGTTTACATACCAATTCCTTCTTCTTCATGCACTCCATGAGGATGATGAACAGATGCTGGGCTTGGGTCCGAGTGTATGTGAAAGTCTTCTGGATGGTCACCAGCAGCTGGTCTCTCAGAGATTCATTGATAAGTCTGCAATTAGAAACAATGTCAACCACAGGTCAACCCAGCTCCTCTTCAGTACATGTTCCTGAGAAATATTCTAGAACACAGGAAAGCACTGTGGGGATTGACTTTAGACAGGAGTTATTTCTTCCTGTGTTTTTCTTGCCACAGTTATTTCAACTGTGATAATTAAAAAAACAAAACAAAACAAAACAGTGCACTTAAAAATCAATCCATTTTAATGTCTCAGAACCTAAAAAAGTAGTCAGAAGATGAATTTGGTTCTTTTTTTCCTTTGTCTGTCTCTTTTTTTCTTGTATATGGCATGTGTCTAATACCCTGTTCCTCAAGTGCCATTATCAAAGAAAGCCTTACTCATTAGCATCTTGGTAAAAATTTACTGCATTACTTATATGAAGATTTAAATTTCAACTTCATCTCTAATTGTGGGGGAAAAGCTTCCATCTCAGTAATTTGAGCACCAATGAGGAGCAATGGGACTTATGTTTCTTCTAAAACCATTCCTGTAGGTGGTAACTTATCTGACCTATGATTCAGGTCATCATTTATGTCAAGCATCGGCTGTGTTACAGCCAAAGAGTCTGATCCACAGGAGGTCTAATATGGACTATTTCAGTAAGAGAGAGTTTTTGTGCTATAGAAGAATGAGGGAAAGCAAGGGAGGTACATGATACCCAACCACTGCCCTGTTGCCTCTCGAAGCCGAACCAGCTAACTTTTAACTTCGCCCTCACTAAATGACCTGGTGAAAACTGGGTTATCTTTATTTGCCATCAGGGGATGAAAAATCACTTTACTGTTCATAGATTCTGTCCAAAATCAGGAAGATAAAACTTCTTTCAAGGACCAGCGACAAAATTATCATACTTTGCCTAGCATTTTATGGTTTTGTCATTTTTTCCCCGTAATTGAAGAACCAGAAACTCCTATCTACAACAGTAAAATATAATTATCTCATTTGGTGCTCATGGGAACCCTGTAGGCAAAAGGTCTGTACAATTTAAAAGGGAAGGGTATTTTAGCTGGAAAGAGCCAGATGCTTAAGGTCATCAGCAATTAAGAGGCAGAGCTAAAACCAGAATCTAGGTCTTCTGATTCCTTGTCCAGTACTCTTTCCATTACACTACTGCCTCTCATTACACCAAGTGCACTATACCTTGGCCTCTCTTCCTCACTGTGGCTACTTGAGAAGCAAATTATAACATATGCTTTAATGTGAAAGCAGAACAAGTTTTGTTGCTTCAAAGAAAGCAAGACGGGAGGCTTGATAATCCTTCTGTGCCCCAGGATTGTGTGAAGATCACCTGAACCCACTAGGTTGGACAATATGGGTTCCCTAAGCTTTGAGGAGGGTGCATTCTTCATGACAGGATTATACCAAGGATCCTGGAATGTCATGCAGCTCGATGGAGGATTGGGTTACGCCTTCTGCCCCCCAAGAAGGTTTATATCATGAATAGTTAGAAAAAGAGAATGATCCAGATGAAGTTGAAAAATAATACTAGATCCTCTCAAGATTACTAAATTATTCCGGATGACTCTGTGGCCTTAGGCGTAGACCAGTCTGAAACCATTCATTCACTTATTCGTTCATTCAACAACTGCCTAGTGATGTCTATTCCGTGTCAGTGTCAGAGACTGTAGTGCCTGCCAGGGCCACAGGGATAGATGAGAGACACACTCTCCCAGCTTTCAATGAGCTAACACACCGGTGGAGTAGGAAGATGGGACCTAGCAATTTAACTGTGATTGGTAGTGGTAAAGAAGTAGAGAACTTGTGACAGCTGAATATAATCTAATCTAGGTGGTACAGGGAAGACTCCTCTGAGGAAGTGCTGTTTAATTTGAGACTTGAAGAATAAATGAACATTAGCACGTTGGGGGCGGGGGTGCTAAGTAAGAGCATTCTGGGCAGATGAAATAGCGTGAAAAGATGAAAAGCCCAGTTTTGAGAAAATAAGGTCAGTATGGCTAGAATATGGAGAACAAAAGAAAGAGTGGAACAAGATGGTGTTGCAAAAGGAGAGAGTGGGGATAAGATCATGGGGGACTTTTGAGATGGTGTTAGAGACTTTGGATTTCATCCCACAGGTAGTGAGAGGCTGCTGGCGAGTGACATGATCCCATTTGTGTTGCCAAATTTCCTGAAGGGTCAAGATGTGAGCACTCTACTTGACAGGCAACCCATGTGGATGGGTCTAGAGAGTTCTGAAATATTGAGTATACATAGATGTTGTACATGATTAACAACACAAGAAGAGACTCTCCTCATTAGCCACTTGATAGATCCAATCATTCATCTGCAGGTGTTTAATTTTTTTTTAAAGATTTTATTTATTTATTTGAGAGAGAGAGGGAGAGAGAGAGAGAGCACATGAGAGGGGGGAGGGTCAGAGGGAGAAGCAGACTCGCCGCTGAGCAGGAAGCCCGATGTGGGACTCGATCCAGGGACTCCAGGATCATGACCTGAGCCGAAGGCAGTCGCTTAACCAGCTGAGCCACCCAGGCGCCCTGCAGGTGTTTAATTTTGATAACAACTCGAGATTTGTTTTCCATTGCTAACCATCTGTAGTGAAATCCCAGTTCCCTGAGGTCATTAACTGTTTGAGGGATCTGTCTGTTCTTTGTATGTAGTCTATGACTTTGTAAAAATTGAGACATCATGTGCAACTTAGTTGATTGTGAGCTTTGTTAGCGAGGAGAGCTGAAAGACACTGAAGACGTCTTTATACTAAAAAGTATAAGATCTTTATTTCGCAACTGAATTAAGTTGTGCCTTTGGTTAAATCATTTAGCAACAAACACCCAGAATTCTACTTCTAGAAGTACAAGGATTCTCTAGATTGGTGTTTTCTAAAGCGTGGGGTGCTAATCACTGATAGAGCAGAGTGGTTTTAGGTGAGACAAAGATGATTTAGTCTTTCCAAAGCCTTAAGTTATACTCATTAAACATTAAGTAACTGTTACTCTGGCTTTAGTTCTTTTACCATCCTGATTGCATCAAGAGGAAAATCACATTTTTGATGTTTCTTTGGTTTTATTAGCTCATGAGCATTTGTAAATCTCCCCCTTTTGGCAAAGAAATAACAGGTATTAGGTCCCATGCTTTTTGCAGAAAGAGTTTAAGAACGTTTAAAAGAAGATCCTGTAAAGCATTTGATGTATTCAGAGCACATCATGGTTTAGGACATACAATGGGATCATATCATTTGATTTTCACATCAGTCTGAGAGAGAAGCAGGTATTAATTCCATTTTGCAGAAGAGGAGGCTGTGGCCCAAAGAGACCAAATGATTTGTACAAGACCAAATGAGGTTGATGATCTTGGTGCTTGAGCCGAGTCTGCTGAATTCAGCCTTCCATCGTGGTGCTGCTTTTCCTGTTTGAAACCTCTAAATATGTCTTTTAGTTTCCTAATCATCTGCACTGGAAGTAGAAATTTAAGTATATTAGTTTTAGGGAATTGCTCTTCCTTTTTGTGATAGAACATCTGAAGGAAATCTGAAGATACGGGGAAGAGTGAGGACAATGGTAAAGTGCATTTCGTATGTTGAAGATTCTATGGCTTCTGATTTCCTCACAAGTATTTGCTAAGCTAAATGAGATGTTTTCTATTTGGCAACAAAGACTTCCCCTGTCTTCTCTAAGGACCCTTTCTTACTGTGTGACCATATTTCTGTAGGATATTGGGAAGCCTGCTTTCTTGAAATTATTGCTTTCCTAGCTCTTCCCGTTTTTTTGTTTTTTTGTTTTTTTTCCTGCCCAACACTGGAAGGATTTAAAAAATCTTGACCGTGATATTTAATCACCAGCAAAAAATAGAAATAAGTCCATTTTAGATTTCTTTTTATGGCACAAGAATAGCGATTGAGAATTTCTTGACATCAAAACACGGTCAGAGTATTATATAAAATTTTCATTTTAGAATTGGGTCTTTGACAAAATGGTGCCTATTTATAGAAACTGTTAATTTGTGGCTCCATATGGACCAATGCTATTTTTGGTATACCTCAGATTAGAATGATTCTTGATTTAGGAAGGGTAGTGAGGAAAATTGAAGTGAGGAAAACCTCCATACTATGGCATTTGTGTTTCCATTTAAATGCTGAACTTGTGATCTGGAGCTTTTTGGATGAGTCACAGAAGTATCTGAAATAGGTCACTGTTCATCCAGTGCTCGGAGTAACCAAAGGAACTTCGCACCCTTGGCTACTCGCATTCTGTTCAAAGGCTAGCAACACAACCCACGTGTGCACCCTTTTCTTGGAATGACTTTAATTACCTGCCATATCAGAGTTTTGTTCCTCGATTTAAAAATTAGAAAATGCATTTAGAATTCAATGGGACGCGAAGAGCTAGACTTAGGTTAATGGCTTTCATCAAGGAGCGAAGCCCTTCTCCTGCCCTCCACACATGCTCTCAGTTCACTTGTTCAGATACAACACGAGAAAATTTTACCTATATAAATAAAGATCATTAATAGTACCGCAATTTGGTACATAAAAGACATCATTTCCCAGAGAATCTCTAATGCTCTAAAGAAAAATGAAATTTTGTCATTTGCTTCATGCCAAAGCAAATTACTACATGTAACCCTAGGAGACAGAAAGGTTACATGTCTTGCCTAAGGGTCACAAAGAATGGCATTTTTCTTTTCTCCTCCTCCCATCCCATTCCTCCTCCATTTCCTCCCTCCCCTCTTCCTCCTCCTTCTTCTTGGTTAGTAAAAGTTACCCCTTCCTCCCAAATGCCATGACTGGGGGGGGGGGTCACAAGTAACAGCATGATTCGTCGCGGAGAGGGAACCCATATTGTGGATAAAAACCATCACAGTCACCAGGGTTAGGCTGTCTGGAGCGAAGCTGTCACTGGCCAGCTATATGATCTCGTGCGAGCTGTTTAGTCTTTCCATGTCATGTTTTGCATGTATGTAAAATGAGAATTATAAGAGTGCTTATCTCATAGACTTGTGAATATTTAATGAGTTAATCTTTGTAGAGGGCCTG